CAGTGATGTGCTCACCCACGCCGTTCCTTCTCTCCCCATCTCAACTGTGGGCACCAGACTGTGACAGCTTGTGACCTCACAGCTGGGTGCCCACTGTGCATGCGCAAGTAGTGCTGCACATCCTGATTGGTCCAGCAGTCTTGTGGAACCTGTGAAGTGTCCCAGAATTTCTGGCCTACTACACCACGGTGAAGTGAGCCGGAAGTGGGAATAGGTACCTGTCAAAACCAGGTATTCACTCCCCCCAAAAAAATGAAAAATGTGGAGGGGAAGAGGAGGCGGCAAACAAGTGGGTGGAAACTCTGCTTTTTAAGTACACCACCTGCCTACATGCATGAGCTAAGCCCAGATGGATTCCAGGAAGTAAATGCTACATGATCCTATGCCCTTAGTCAAGATGGCCATGGCCAGAAAACTAGGTGGGTGTTTTTGAAAGTGATTTCTCTGAAAAATAAAGCATGGAGACCTGGATGGATGGGGGGAGTTAACTTTGAATATTAAAAATGAATGGTTTTGGTTTGTGGTGCTCAGATGCAGTGAAGTTGGTCTTTACAGTGATACTAAAGTCTTATATATGTCATACCTGCCTTCTCTGTGCAGTGGTTTTGCACAGAGAAGCCCAGATCCTTCCTCTTCTCGGGTCCCCCGCTGTCACTCCCAGTGCCCCCACAGCAAGCCGCTTGCTATGGAGGCACCTGAGTAGGTGCGCTCCCAAGCCATGGCTCTCTGTCCATTCGCAAACAGCTGCAGCTCAGTCCTGCTCCCTCCCTCTCCTGATTGGCTCACTGGCTATCATTGACAGCAGTGGGAGCCAATGGCTGAGAGTCCCTGGAGAACCAAGGCTCTCGTGGAGATCGCTGGATCAGGATGGGGCTCAGGTAAGTATTGGGGGGCTGCTACACACAGAAGGTTTTTTCCCTTCATGCATAGAATGCATGAAGGGAAAAAACCTTGAGCCTTTAGAACCACTTTAAGTGGTTTACAAATTGTTCCCTTCTCCAAGATGTCCGAGTTAACAGAATTAATTTTTGCTAGTTCTCTGCCATGTTTGAAAAACATATATTGCTTTATGTCCCAGCTTCCAACATAATCCGACTACCTTTATTGGATCAGTGTAAGTGAGACATTAGATAGTAAAGAACTAGATGCTAGTAGGATTTGCCTGCCTTTGCTTTTCAGAATCTGCTTGTAACTGGTAATAACCATTTTTCTGTCCATACACACTGCAATTTTTGCCATAAGAGATTTCCTGTTAATTGCTGTCTGTAGCTGCTTAAAGCTAAACTCTGGTCCCTTTAACCTTTTTATATAAATAAATTCCTCAATAGCCATGAAGGTTATATATCGGTTTTGTGTGCTGCCAAATGCCTTTTGAATACCCAGATATTGCCTTGTAAAATTAGTGGTAGCAGTGGCATGTCTGTGCTGCCATGGCCTGTGCAGGGGGAGATCTGTCTGGGGGATCTTGCAGTTCCATATACTGCAAGATTCCTAAAGAAAACTACAAGGGTTCTGATACAAGAACAGTCACTCTGCACAAGGGAAGCTGCCAACATTAACCGGTCATATTACAGGAAACTTCTGTGCAAAAGCAAAGTGCAGAAGTTTTCTTCATCATGCTGGATTACTGCATAGATAGGAAGATACACAAAGAATACAAAGCTTTTTTGGCAATACTTCTATTCTGGGTTTCAAGAGTGCACTTAATTGTGCATTCTTTCATTCATTTAGTAAATACATTTACATTTTTTAAGACCACATTCACACAGGCAAACTACAACATACACCAGTACAAAGGCCGTGTTTTCCTGCCCACGTTTGCACTGGCATTCTATGCATCACAGTGCAGGCAATCCCATTCATTTCAAATAGGACTCAGTGGCTGCAGTGCCCTTGCTCCCAATTTGACAGCCAATGTGTGTTCTGGGCTGTGCACCCGCAGCCACACAGCTGTCAGATGGGAGCAATGGCTGTGTCTAAGAAGCCATTACGTCTCGATTAAAATGAATGAGTGCTTGCATGGGGATGCATGGAACACCTGGGCAAACATAGCCCTTGCACTGGCATACGCTATAGTGCGCCCGTGTGAGGACTAAAACAAACAAATATACTGGAATATATCTAGGTATTAGATTCCTCTGGCTCACGTCATAGAAGCACTTCGAGCCAGTTAGCACTCTGTTGCTTTGCTCAAAATGTGCTTGCAGAAACGGTGAACACAGATGCTGTTGCTCCTTTATGGTTTAGTCACAGGCTGAGATAGGTCTTGGACTGGGCTGTATTGCTAAACTGCTCTTTAGTCTAGTTTGCAGATATGTTTAATTTGGTTATGATCTCTGATGGAGGTGTCTGTACCACAAGATTGGCTAAACAGAATTACGTGGTTTTGCTTTGCCATGACATTATTTTGTGTTTAGTTGCCTTATTTGGCTCCTCTAGGATCATGTATGGTGGGGTTGATTTACTAAAACTGGAGAGTGTAAAATCTGGTTCAGCTCTGCATGGAAACCAATTGGCTTCCAGGCTTTTTTTTTGTCAAAGCCTAATTGAACACTCTGAAGTTAGGAACTGATTGCACAGCTGCACCGATTTTGCACTCTCCAGATTGTTCAATTAAGCTTTGACAAAAAAAAAGCCTGGAAGCTAATAGGGTTTTATGCAGAGCTGCACCAGATTTTGCACTCTTCAGTTTTAGTAAATCAAACCTGGTGTGTTTGGCAACTCTGAAGTCAGTTGCTGCTGCTTTGCTATAAACATGTTGGTCTTTTTAAAAGGATAAGTGCACTTTCACATAAACACGTACTCGTACACACAGATGTATACTTACCCAAGTCTCACAGCCGCTATGTTGACATCCGGTTGGCAAAATATTATTTTCCAATGGGCACTCTGGTGGAGTTGATTCCTAAAAGCTTCCATAGAGTCCTCTGCCAAGGCTGTAGATCAGTCATTCTCAATCAGGGTTGGCCAGGGGTTTCTTGAGCTAACTGATCTCCCATCTAGTGGTACCTGCATAGTTCAAGGTCCAATCCTACTTGGTCATTCTGGCCACCCTTGTAAAGGGGGACATTCATCCCATTTACCACCACCAATGTAAGGGGCATTTTCCAAATGACCCCTGATGGACTAATCTTACCTGAGACCTGGACATTATTTCAAGGGTTCACTGGGGTAAAAAGGTTGAGAAAGGCTGCTGTAGACACTTCGGAGATTGTCCCATAGAAGCCTATAAGATATGACTGTGCAGGTGCACCTAACAGCAGAAAGGATTTTGACCACATGATGTCAACATTGTGGCAGGCTGTGATTGTGAGAGTTGGGTAAGTATCGATCTGGGTTTGAGAAGAAAGCGTTCCTTTTACATCAGGGAGCTTGGAAGGTATACAGTATGTGTACTTTTTTATATGAAATTATATTTCTACTTTTAAAGACATGCATCCTAAAGTGGAAAAAAGGTCCCTCACTGGCATCTTCTATTGGGGGGCTTCCAGGTGCTGGGATGCGTCTGTCTTCTTTGGCCAGTACAGTTCAACGTCACTGATGCATGGAAGCGCAGTCAGCCCACAGGATCTGTGCAGGACTATAAACTTAGCTGCACGTGCACAGCTTACTATACGTTCTAAAGATTGTATTTTATTTCAGAAGTGACATTGTGTGTCTCTTCTGCCATAAAAGCCTGCCTGCGTGCAGTTTTTCATTTAGGACTTGCGTTCCTCTTTAACATACACTATATTGCCAAAAGTATTTGGACATCCCTCCAAATCATTGTATTCAGGTGTTCCAATCCCCTCCATGGCCACAGGTGTATAAAATCAAGCATCTAGGCATGCAGACTGCTTCTACAAACATTTGTGAAAGAATGGGTTACTCTCAGGAGCTCAGTGAATTCAAGCGTGGTACTGTGATAGGTTGCTACCTGTGTAATAATTGTATCCTTGAAATTTCCTTGCTACTAAATGTTCCACAGTCAACTGTTAGTGGTCTTTGTGTGACCTTCAGATTAGTACAATAGTGTGTAGAGAGAGCTTCATGGAATGTGTTTCCATGGCCGAGCAGCTGCATCCCAGGCTTACATCACCAAGTGCAATGCAAAGTGTCGGATGCAGTGGTGTAAAGCCACTGGACTCTAGAGCAGTGGAGACATGTTCTCTGGAGTGACAAATCACGCTTCTCTGTTTGGCAATCTGATGGATGTGTCTGGATTTGGTGGTTGCCAGGAGAACGGTACTTGCCTGACTGCATTGTGCCAAGTGTAAAGTTTGGTGGAGGGGGGATTATGGTGTGGGGTTGATTTTCAGGGATTGAGATTGGCCCCTTAGTTCCAGTGAAGGGAACTCTTAAGGCGTCAAGACATTTTGGACAATTTCATGCTCCCAACTTTGTGGGAACAGTTTGGGGATGGCCCCATCCTGCTCCAACACTGACCTGCACAGAGTCCTGACCTCAACCCGATAGAACACTTTTGGGATGAATTAGAGCTGAGACTGCAAGCCAGGCCTTCTTTTCCGACATCCGTGCCTGACCTCACAAATGCGCTTCTGGAAGAACGGTCAAACATTCCCATAGACACACTTTTAAACCTTGAGGACACCCTTCCCAGAAGAGTTGAAGCTGTTATAGCTGCAAAGGGTGGGCCAACTCTATATTGAACCCTATGGACTAAGAATGGGATGCCATTAAATTCATGTGCATGTAAAGGCAGGCGCCCAAATACTTTTAGCGATATAGTGTATGCTGTCTGTCTCCTTTTCTGTTGAAATAGGAAGTTGATCCCTAGCAAAAATGAATATTTGGGCTTGGTCAGTAAATATCTTGTGCACCGATTTAGCAGGCTATGTATGGCCAATTACTGCGGTACATGTTTTCATCTGTGTGAGGATGATATCCTGTTAGTCAGTATTTACTAAGAGCATGAAATGATTTTCAAGTGAACCAAATACTACATTTGTAATTGGGCCTACTAAATTTTATATTTGAGTTTTAATTTCTCTTAAAAACAGAAAAGATATTCAAGGCACATCCTCTGACATAACAACATACCTGGGGACACCATTGGAAGAGATGAACAGAATGCCAGTGTGTTACAATGCTCTACCACCATTAAAGCCTTCTGCTAACCACACCATCACCGTACGGGTAAGAGTTTAATGGTCTTCCAGTGGAATTACCTGGTATTACTGCGTATAAGAGAGCCTATGACTTGCACCCATTCCTCCCAAGTGATATTTATGGTGCTTGGCAAGTGCCTGCTTGGGCACAGCACTTTCACATGGGAGTGAAATGAAAGTACTCAACCCTGTGTCTAGATGGACTTGAAGCTGTCAAAGGGCATTTTCTCCTAAGCTCTAGCAGTGAGGGAATAAAGGTAAGTCACATATGGGCTTTTGCAGGGGAAAGATTTAAAGTGGTTGTAAACCTCTGACATGAAAAATGATCAAAGCACATCCCTGTATAGGGTGTTTTTAGCCTTAATCTACAGCGCCAAGTGTCATATCTCTGTGAACTCCATCTATTTGCATGAGTCACTGATAATCTATGCTGACTCCACAGCCCTCTTCCAAGCACAGTAGGTGACTGACCTCTTCAACTGTGTATATTTCCCTAGCACAGTGTGTACAGGGGGGTGGGGATTGTTCATTCCCTTACTCCATTTATACTGAAGCTCTGTGCTCTAGCTCTGCACTTTTGTGAGGTCAGATCCCTGCCCTCCTGCCTGCTAGAGCTGAGAGATGCTGTGTAAAATGTGTGCTTAAGGAGTGTGGAGAAGAGATGGCTGCAGATAAACAGGTACAGCTTGTGCAGTAGGATTTGTTTCTGTGTATCACCTAAGGGTAGTCCCTTTACTGGGTAAATGTAAGCATTTGCAACCACTTTGCATAGGCAAGGCACAAATACACCTAGGGTCTCCTGGCCATGAAATAGAACACACTGACTGACCTACTGAAAATGATCCTTGCCTGGTTTTTAAACAGAGCATAGAATAAAAAAAAACAAGGATTGCACATTACTCATTCTCTCTTGCTCGCGCTCTCTCTCTCTCTCGCTCGCGCGCGCTCCCCCCTCCCCCCCCTTCTTTAAGGGAGTTAACACTTTTCATTTGAAGTACAAGTAAAGGCTATATAGGTTCAGTGTATGTCTGCATATAAAACTGTTTCCACACTCGTACCTATGCTGCTGTTAAATAAAAATGTCTGTAAATACTTTTCAATCCACTCTGGTGCGGTCACTTGATGCTGAAGTTCTGGCTCCCCGGTGTCATGGAGCGTTTGACAACGAGGCTGAATTCCATGAGCCATAACGCCACCCGCTGCCTTCCATTGCCCACCTCTTGTCAGTACTCTCTCCTCTCTCCCCTGCAGCAGCCGCTCCATGACAACAGGGAGCCCTAACTTCTGCATAATGTGATGGATTGAAAAAAGGCATTTCCACACCTCTCCTTTTACCAGCAGTATACAGCATAGGTAGGAGGAGCGGGGAAGCTATGTTTTAAGCAAACTTCTATGTTATCCTTTCTTCCACTTCAAGGGAACCAACAGGGGGTATTGTACTTTAGGTTAGTGATCTGAAGGAGGGGTGCTCCAGCCATTCGAAACCCTTGTGTGCTGAAAGCAGGTTTCCAGTGTAAAACCTCAGGGGAAGAGTGGACTTTAAAAAGAATAGGAAGTATATTCTTCTGGTTTTCTTGTCACCAGTATTGTAAAGTAAATTTGCGTTGTTCTTTGTATTCATTTCTTGATTTTTATTTTTTCAGGTTGACAGGTTACAGGACAATGTTGTGCCTGTGCCCCATCCATCTTCCTTTACAGAAACATGGGACAGCATACACGTGAAGATGCCCTGCTCAAAAAACAATATATATCCAGTAGATGACCATGTGTGAGAAGTTGCGGGATCAAATTACCTTTTAAGTTTTTAAAAAGTAGTATGTATAATAGTAATTTTTGTTTTTTCTTTTAAATTCAGCAGGGTAATTTAAGGACTACAACATACCGATGGAAAATCATTGAATCATCTTTGAAGGGCAACATAGGAAACGCACATGAGCTGAAGGTGTGAATGGGGCTGTTGCTTTTACTTTTCACTGCCTAATGTAAAACTCTATTTCTGAAAAAAATGCAAATATATTGCTTTAGTATCAGTGTCACTTCTTGTATTCCAGTTAATAGAATACTTTTAAAAAATCTTAAATGAATTATAACTTATACCCGGAGTCAGCTTAAAGTGTACCTGTGAAGCTAGATATATGGATGTTGACATTGCTGATTTTCATTTTTAAAAGTGCAGCTTCCTGAACTGTCATTATAATCCTGGCTTTATTACCTAGTGAGTCATTGACCTAGAACAAGCATGCAGCCAGTTTACAAGGCTGAACTTCTGATCTGCATGCTTGCTCAAGGTCAACGATTTAAGTAGTGAAGCAAAAATCTGGATGGCTGCTAACACCTGAAAATGTGACTTTCTTGCCAGGCCATTGCACAACAGTACAGGTTTTCTGGTGCACTTTAGTGTGTTGGCTGCTACTGCACAGTGCATTGGGATTGCTGTTCACATGTTCACAATTAGTAGCACCGCAAAATGCTGTGGTTGAACAGATGCATTGGCGCACATTGCAAATAGCATGGTAAAAATCTTGTTAAAGCATATTGCCACAACACACAAGTGTAAATGGGCCCTGAAAATAGTGTCATTTTATTTTAAAATATTTATTAGGATGAATGAAATCTGTATTTATTTTTAATATTTTCTTCATTTTAGAAAAACATTTTTTTTTGTATTTGGATAATTATGAATACTTTATTTTTACCATTTTCATACTGCTGCACTGACATATAGTGACAGCCAATGAGGGAGCCTCTCTGTATACACTGTTCCCTCACTGTATACACTGCTCCTCTCCTGCCCCCTCCTTGCACACACTGTTGGTCCCTATGTGATGAATATAAAATCTTAAGTTGAAAAATAAATAAAAATAATATACATGAAAGTAGAGAAAACAAAAATTGGAGCCATCCCACCCCCACATACGCAGACGTTTCGGTTTGGTTTTTGGCCACATGCATTCTGAATTTTCAGTATCAGTTTCGGCACCAGAGTTTTCATTTCGGTGCACCACTAGTTTAACCCATACTTTTTTAAAGTGTAACTAAAGTCAAAACTTTTTTTTAGTTTTGGATAGAGTGGAGAGGGATTTGAACACTTGTCAGTTTTTATTGCTGTCTTTGCCCTAATTAGGGAGATATATCCTCTCTATTTGTTCTGTTTACCATTATCATTGAAAGTAAAAGAAACTTCCAGATTTTGGGTTGTCCCCAGAAAAGTAAGAGGGCAAATCTTCCAATTGGGACTAGTTCTGGTGACCTGGGGGGTCCCCAAGGGATTCCCTTTAATTTGCAGGGATTTTCATTCACTTCCTGTTTGGCTATGGGGCAGGAAGTGAGGGGAATCTCTGCAATGGGAAACAGATGATGAAAATAACCTGACGGGTTATAACTCTCCCTTACGTTATCCAAAATGTAAAAAAAAAAGTTTGCCTACGGTTTGCAGGATTTTAATACATCAGAGTATCGCTAATTTGCTTTTTGAGTAACTCAAGAAATGTTTGTTTAAAAGCTGCTTCTTCGTGTTTGAGCTTCTCTTGCATTAGGTTTTGTTAGTGTTGTTGACTTGCATAGTGGGGTGGAAAAGAAACTTGGATGCAAACACGAGTTTGTGTACATTAGGCCTTGTGCCGCAAGGATTAACTGTAGTAGCTACATTATAGTGAACTGCAAATAAGTCGTACAAAGGTAATAACCCTCCTTTTACTCTATCCAAAATGGGAAAAAAAATTGCTTATAGTTGTAGTTGAACCACCTGCCCACTTGTGTAGGCTTTTTTCACATACGTGTTAAAATTGGCAATTTTTTAGCTGGAAATTTTCTTGGAATACCTAAAAAAAAAATAAATAAATAAATAAATTCTATATTTTCTTAAAGCAGAGGCCCTGGAAAATACATTGGTGGCTGTTGCAATATTTTTACACACCTTATTTGTGCCACTATTTATCAAACTCAGATTTTTAGGAACAAATATGCTTAAATTTTATTGCACACAAATGCATTATAATACTGAATTTTTGGGTAAAATATAAAAGAGGCCCTTCCCTCCTCCTACCACTCCATCCCCCCACAGCCATTTCCTCCTGTGCCTCTACCCCCTCCCTCCTAGATTGTATCGAAAGAGTAGGGCCCTCTAACCCCTCGTGTGCTGTTTGATGTTACTGTTCTGTTTCATGTATTGTCCCCCCTCTATTGTACAGCGCTGAGCAAACCCTTTGGCGCTATAAAACTCGATAAATAAATAAATAAAGATGTTGTGTGGCGTAAATAGATACCAATCACGTCAAGACATAAAGTTGCTGAAAGTTTGTAGAGAGCCAGGATTTGATTTCCTGTAAACATTTGGTAAGGTATTTGGATGGAAGGGTGATCGTAGATTTAGTGGACAAGTAGACCTGGGTGTCAATGGAAGTGGATGTTAAAGTGTTACTAAACCCAGGACCCTGCATTCACTATATCCGGTCTCCCACAGTACACAGAACATGGAAGTGCAATTGTTTTTATAGAAGACCAAGAGAAAAAGATAGATTTTAAACAGAAGGGGCCTCAGGACAGAACCCTGGGCCACACCAGTAGAGTGGAGATGGTTGGGATTAAAAAATTTGAGTTGGATGAATTGAGTTGGTTTACTGCCATTTTGCAGGCTCCTATGTGCCAGGAGAGCCCGCGAACCACCTCAGGTGGTGGCGGGGAAGGGGGTCTTCCAGGGGCTGTAAAAGTGATTGGTTGGCTGTAAAGCAGCCTGGATTGCTATTAGCTGACTACTAACTGCCAGGTGTGAAAAAAAAAAAAAAAAAAGGATCATAGCTGCAGGCATGATCTTAGTATAACCACTTACTGTCCAGAATGTTTATATACGTATGCTGGATATGATTAATGAGAAACCACAGAGTACTTTCCATACATGACCTTGCCCAGGAACAATACATTCTTCTAGCCTCACAGGAGCCAATGGGAATGCCCCACCCACTTTTGTATTTGATTTTTGGATTACCCTGATGGTGACGGAAGGCTTGATGTAGGAACAGGAGTCTCTTTTTTACCAGAGATCCTACTGTAATTGATAATAAAAAAGGGGGTCTAGAAAGCTTTTTGTTTTCACCTAAACTGACTTGGCCTCACAGTTTATAAAGGATAAGGTTGCCTGTGTCTGGCATAACTTTTATTACAGACTGTCAGAACATCTAAAGCAAGGCAGGCATTTCATACTAGAAAATCCTAGCATGCTTTTCTGGCTCAATTCATTTTATATAATTTTTTATAAGATCTTTATTGTACCAGTAAAGCCCCTTGCACACAGGTGTCATTGTTTATTGATGTTTACTCAGGAACTTGTGATGCCCATGTGCAAGAGGCCAAAAACTGTGTAAAGACCTGATTAATGCTGAGTATAGGCGAGTAAGGTGTGTAAGCGTATAGATGAGTAAAATTCTTCTTTGCCAGTATTGTGGCCCTTTGCAGGCGGGCGTCACAAGTTCTTGAGTAAACATCAGTAAGGTATGACGCTCGTGTGCAAGGGGCCTAAACAAGTAAATACGTAAGTAAATTACTGCACAAAAAGTATTTTTTGTTTTATTGCTTTGTACTGTAAACTGTATTACAGATTTTTTTTACTCAGCTGTGTTCAATGTCCAATAAACAGTGCATTTCATTTCAGATTAATAAAAAAAACTCCACATTTTTTACTCCTGTGTGGAATAGGCTTGATAATAATTACTTTTTTATACTTGTAAACTTTCTAAAAAGACTTTATAGCTCATTCATACATTTATCGTGTTGATATGCATAACCCACAGCACATCCTCTGATCTGCACTGTCATTTTTTTTTTTTACTGTATACATTCATTAAGGTGCCATTTAGAATAAATCCTGCACATACCAATGCATTGCCATGACACACATTAAAATGCGCATTTTAATGCATGTTACTGCAATGCAAAATATGAATGTATTGCAAATAATGAATCTGCGTTTATGTCCTAGAAACCTGCAGATGGCGCAAGTGTTTATTTTATTTGTACCATTGAAATGCTTTTTTGTATCTTTAATTGCAGTCAGCAATTTTGGCGTATAATTCGACTTATTCCAAAAAATGGGACTTCACCGCTTTGGTTGACTTTTGTGTGAAGGTATTGTATTTTCTTTGCCAGAAATGTTATTTAACTCTAGTTTACGCTTCTCTTTCCAGACTAGTTGAAGACTTAAACATTAAGCTCTTAAATGCACACTTCATCCAGATATAAACCATGTGTAGTCTAATATAATTATAATGGTTGCATGACTGATTAGATTATTAGGGGAATGATTCAACAAAGCCTCTTACGTTATAGAAATAATGTCCAAGGTGCAATTCATAAACAGTGAAGTTTTGGTAGATTTATAAACCAAATGAAAATGTTGTTGGCTAAAGCAGGGGTTGGCAGCCTTTCAGAGGTTGAGATCTACCTGGACAACATGGAGGATCCCTTGGGGGTGGCGGGAGGCACCGTTTAAAATAAAAAATAATTCAAGCCCCCAAATGAAAAACATCATGAAGAACGCATGGTGTCTCACAGTAGTGTCCTCTGCCCCGCTTCACATCACTCCCCCCCCCCCCCCCCCCCCCCCCCCACTTCATTTTGTGAGATGACTGGATTAATAAAGAAATGTTCTTCTCTTTTCCAGCCTTGTGGCTTGTGGCCACCTGTCCTGGAAATATCCTTCCTATTATAAACGACGGGGAGCATTGAAACGCTTTGCATGAGCCTATTTTAAAGAGTCATTTAAACTAATCACAGAGCAGTACCATCAACTTTTGAGACAATAAACAGTGTTGCTTATAAAATACAAGGTCAGGAATATGCCATATACACAGATCC